TGGATGGGCAAGCAAGGGATCATATTACAGTTGAATACAAAAAAAAATGTTTTTGTGTGAAGTCTCAAACATGAATAAATTAGAAAATGAAAAAGATCAAAAGATATAGGCTATATTATGCTCCTCTTCTGTAATTCTGGGATGGTTCATTAACAAAACAAATTTCTTTGCAAACAAAAGAATGAATTCATAACAAACAAACTTAATTTGTCTTTAACATCTATTTGAGTATTTAAATATTCTGATAGTTAAAAATATTAGTTGTAGTTAATTTAAAATATTTGCACATTAACAAATAATATTACAATGTAGGATAAAATAGCTTTTACACTGTGTGCCAGGAATTCATATTTGCCATTCAGTCTCTGTAATAAAAGACTAGCAACTGGACAGCTATTGCTGCTTAGCTGCTAGTAACGTAAACTCCCACCCCCCCTACCTGTGGGCATCAGGTAGGGTCTGCAATTTAAAAGGACACTATAGGCACCCAGACATCCCAACATGCAAAAACTCATTTCAGGGAGTTGGTCCCCTCATTTTCAGGGAAGTAGCTTAACAAGCTACTGTGCACCCCGATACAAACACACAGCCGCCAAACTTGTCTAGGGTGAAGTGCATTCTGTCTTTATTTGGGCACTACCATGGTTCTGCAGACACTAACTAAAGCGAACACTGGAGAGAGGTCGATTGTAAAGCCCGCCTCCCGGGAAACCTGATATGCTTTGTTTTTTTCTTATTATATGGTACAACAACATATAAATTTGGAAGACATACTTACCTATCATTCATGAGAAGTTCCAATACCTTTTATTTAAAGGACCACTATAGTGCCAGGAAAACTCATTTTCCTGGCACTATAGTGCGCTGAGGGTGCCCCCACCCTCAGGGTCCCACTCCCGCCAGGCTGAAGGGGATAAACACTCACCTTTCTCCAGCGCTGGGCTCCCTCGGCGCTGGGGACTCTCCTCCTCCTTCCGATGTCATTGGCTGAATGCGCATGCGCTGCAAGAGCCGCGCGCGCATTCAGCCAGTCCATAGGAAAGCATTCTCAATGCTTTCCTATGGATACTGGCATCTTCTCACAGTGAAAATCACAGTGAGAAGCGCGGAAGCGCCTCTAGCGGCTGTCAATGAGACAGCCACTAGAGGCTGGATTAACCCTAATGTAAACATAGCAGTTTCTCTGAAACTGCTATGTTTACAGCAGGCAGGGTTAATTCTAGATGGACCTGGCACCCAGACCACTTCATTAAGCTGAAGTGGTCTAGGTGCCTATAGTGGTCTTTTAAAGATTTAGAGTAAATTTGCGTTTTACTTGCTCACGTGATGCACTTTTGCACAGTGTACATTGCACTTTGGTTATACATACTTAAGTATTCTTGCATTTTTGCACTTTGAATGTTTACAAGGTTGCACAGTGCACTGTCTGATAATTGCACAATTATATTTATCACTTGCACTTATTGTGTAAAAACTAAATTCATAGCGCACTTTTTTTTGGAATGACCTTCTCGTAGACAATAGAAGAGAGGGACAGGTAGAGAACGTTGGTTTTGAATATGCATTTAGCACACAATATAATTCTAAAGCATTTGACATCCAAAGTATAATTAGTAAACGTTGGCCGTTACTTCAGGAAGATGAGTTTTTCAAAAGTGAATTACCCCCAATTCCAAAAAAACATTTTTAAAAAAGGGACACATTTTTACAATATTTTGAATCCCAGTACTTTTTAGAGAAAAAAGATTTTGAAAACCAGCCACTAAGGTTTATTTTTTGTTAACACTCTTTATTTTTTGCCCATGCATAATGAAAATGTACAAGCGTAGTAGAGACATTTCAATGAGAGACTGTACATGCAAGATTAGAACAAGATGCAGCACGAGATGTCTATTATTCTGCACTGCTAAGAAAAAAAGGAAAGAAAAACAAAGTAGCGTTATCAATTGCGAGTCAGGACATCAGTGGAACATAATACATTAAGCTAGACAAAGTGACTACACGAGACAGAAAACATGAAAATAAGATCACCAAGTTGTTTACAGATTGAGCTCTTGTCGCTAACCTAAACACTTTTTAAAAGAAGGAGCACAGGGTAGGCAACCTGGGATTCTGTAAAAGACTGAAGCAATGTGATTTAGAGGCAAAAGGCAACATGCTAATAGCCAGATTCCCCACCCGGACCAGTTGACCTTGTGAGAGTAGGTCAGTCAACCTGTGCCGGTAATAGCCAGACAGAGTCCACGCAGGCCTAGTAGGTGATTCAAATATCCTAAGGTGCCGCAATGAGCAGTGACCACACAACCCCAGGTGATGTCAGGAACCAGCTCCCAATGTCCACTGGCCTCTCCCTCCTTTCATTGCTCCCCGTATTGGCAAAAATCTAGGAAAAATGCATTCACATGCAACTATATGAATATGATCAACAATCAAACTATCTGACCCCTAATCACTCAGGCTTTCGTCCAAATTACTCAACTACAACAGCCCTCTTAAAAGGTCCTCCTATAATCTCCGATCTAGTACTAGCACGATATTTAGCATATCACAATACAAAAATAAAGTGTCTCGATCCTCATTTTTGTACAAAGCACCGTGATTATGGAATAACCTCACAGAAACAGTCAAATCTTTATTCAATCTAAAATCTTTTAAGAGATTTATGGCAACAAACCTCAATACAGAATGCACCTGTCATGGTTAACTATAATTATTACCTATTATATGTTAAATTTATATACGTGTGTATGTATATATATTTATTGTATATTGTATTATTTTTTGTAATATTATATTGTACTGTATTGTAACATTGCAGTGTTTGTGGGCCCTGGACATATTTGAAAATTAGAGACATATTAATGTATCCTTCCTGGTAAAATATTTTGTAAATCAATAAATACATTTTATTCCATTTTATTGGTGTTTTGTTTCATATTTTAGTTTGTGGAAGAAGGGGTGTTTGGAAGCTTCTAACCAGGCTTCATCCCTTATGGACTCCGGACATATTTTGATGTGCTTAAACCCTTAAGGACACATGACATGTGTCCCTTTTATTCCAGAAGTTTGGTCCTTAAGGGGTTAAACATTGCTTTGTATCTTGTAAGTTGAACCAGTTTTAAAGGTTGTCGTTATACTAGAAACTCTGCACCATGATTTATTTCTTTTTTTTTGCACTTTCAATTATTGCACTTAAAGGGACAGTCCAAGCACCCACACCACTTCTGACCTGACCTGCCAACTCCCATCACCCTGAGACAGCCAATAGAGGGACTTCCTGCTTCTTAAAATGCAAAAAGTCTTTTAAACAGCGCTGGACGTCCTCACGCTGTGCATGAGAACCTCCAGCATTACGAGAATCCCCATAGGAAAGCATTATTCATGCATGCGCATTAGGCCTCCCCGTCGGTAGACGTTGGCAGGTGAGGAGCATGGGTGGAGCCTGACCCAGTGCCGATGTCCCTCGCAATGTCTTAAAGGGACTCTCCAGTGCCCGGATTTGTTTTCCTGGCACTGGAGAGTCCCTTTCAGCCATTGCGTCTGCTCTAAAGATTCATGTGATATGCCTTCAGTCAAATCTTTGTAAGTGCGTTGGTATTATCCTTTGTTTTATGGTGTGTTTACAATACTATTCTATGATTGTTTTGTCTCTATTATACTTGTCTGTAGTGTTCCTTTAATGCATTGTTTCAGTTTGCAGAAATAAAATAACCAATGAACTTCTGCATAAAATACAATGTAACATTATATATAGTGTATCAGGTTTATTGTCAAAATGTACAGACGTTCAGCTGTTTGCAGTGAACAAATCACACAAAAGCATGGGACTGAATAATTGGAGAAGTTATTATAGTTGCATATTATATATTTTGACAATTAACATGATTTTTAATGGGGGTTGAATAATTTTTATTACAACTATACATATAATAGAGATATCCAGTGCACTCACTCATTTACTAAACCGCAATTTCAAAGCTCACATAATGTAATAGTAAGTTTTTTAAAACACCTAACCAAGGCAAAGATAATGGGGTTTAGTTACAGTATAGGATCATACATTGCATAAGCCTGCCACAAGGGCAATTTACCCCATTTTTAGCAGGTCCTATCATAGCAACCAAATCGGAATACTACTGCCTTCACTTTCCACATCCTTTCTGACTCTTTTTTCAGTCCTTGATATTTGTCCATCTTTCTAATGTTATAGTCACTGGGTATTGCCACATCCACCATGACTGCAGTCTTCCGTTCAGCCCATATTCTGTGCAGATATTTCCGTACACAATCCCAGCAACTTGGTTGTGCCTCTCAGGATATGCCAGACCTGCAAAACTTGAGGCCTGCCAAAGGATTTCAAATGGCCCCCAAGGAACTACAGCTGGTGCAGCCAGTCTGCACCTTGGGTATACATATGAAACCAAGGATGCTACAGGGGTCAGTTTATATAACATCCAGTGCACTCACTAATTCACTAAACAGCAGCAGGGCCCTCTTTAATATTGATTGGACCCTGGGCAAAGCATTTGCTTGGGCCCCCTGGTACCCTCGCCAGGTGTGCAATCATGTCCTCCACCCCAACGCAGAGGCAGACCTAAAGTAGAGAGGTGCAAGAATTATTTTGAGCCTCCCTATCGCACGGGTGATTAGAAGGTAGTTCCCCATCTGTAGTGCAACTTCAGCAATGCATTGACAGCTGTGGCTCTACCATTTACCCATGTTTGAAGGTTTGTATTTAGCACAATGCTGTTTTTGTGTGTTTGAATGTAAACAGGTTTTTTTGTAAAATAACTTTGTATGTGGTGTTGGTGTACTTGAATTGGTTTTTGAATGCAAGGGTGCGTTTACATATAATTTTGGTGTGTAACACAGACATGTGTTTGTACCTAGTGTTGGAGTTTGAATGCAGGGGTGTATTTGTATGTAGTGTTAGTGTGTGAATGCTGAGATGTATGCACATATACACACACAGATTATATGTATACAAACTGACAGACATACTTACACAGACACATAAACTGACAGACATACTGACACATACATACTGACATATGGACACCGACACATACACTGACAGACATACTGGCACACACAGACACATACTACCACACACCCAGACAGACATAGTGGCACACACACACACACAGACATACTGACACACACAGGCATACTGACACCCAAACACACTGACACACATGGACCTACTGACAGACACACACACACACACAGACCTACTGACAGGCACACACACACAGACATACTAACAGACACACACACACACACACACAGAACTACTGACAGACACACACACACACAGACATAGTGACACACACACACACAGTCATACTCACACACACAGACATAGTGACTGACACACACACAGACCTACTGACATAAACACACACATACTGACATAATATGCAAACTGTAGAGCCCCCTCCAGTTTCCTACCTTCCCTGGGGTCCAGTGTGCTGCCTTGGGTGGTTGGGAGTTGGGGACTGGCTCTCTTTGCTCAGTCCCCCTCCTCGCTGCCTCCTGGCTCAGCCTCCCTCCTGCGCGGCTCATCATCTCAGAGGGAGGAAGTGACTCACCGACGTCACTTCCTCCCATGCTGCCATAAATCAGAGGGCCCGGTCGTGCTGTTAAAGGGCCACAGCACCCAACTGGGCCCCCTGCTAAAACGTGCTCACCGGGTGGCCCTAAGTGTATTGGCCACCCGATGGGCCGCAATACAAGCACCGCGGGCCTATGGATGGGGAGGGAATTTTTCTTATGCAGGCGATGGGCGGTGGGGCCACGGGGCAGCTGCTTTGGGCCCCCCAGGAGTAACTGGGCCCGGGGCAGCTGCCCCGTTTGCCCCGCGTTAAAGACGGCCCTGAACAGCAGTTTCAAGGCTCACAGAATGTAATCGTTTTTTTTTTTTTTTTTTTAAACACCGAACAGGCAAATTTATGACAGTTTAGATACAGTATGTAATCATACATTGCATAAGTCTGCCACTATGTCAATGTACCACATTTTAGCGGTTCCTTTTCAAGCAACCTAATGCCTGATAAAAATATATATATAAAAAAGATTTTCTCACCCCTCCTGGGTGGCATATTTTATTTTTCATTCTCTGGTCCTCTACAAGAGGCCTGGGAGTCTGAGAGTTCTGCACAGTATCTCAGCTGTTTCTAGTACTGGTGAGTGATCTCAGATTTCCCACCTGGAATCTGTCAAAGCCACTTCCCGCACTTGGGAGTCACATCCCCAGGCGTTCCTATCACAACTGGGACTACTACTGCCTTCACTTTCCACATCCTTTCTATTTCTTTTATTCCTTGGTATTAGTCCTTCTTCTCATGTTCCTTCTTCCGGATGTTATTGTCACTCGATATTGCCACACCCACCACTGCTGCAGTCTTCTGTTCCTTGTTTACCATCACGATGTATATATTTACACACACAAACAAGCAGGGCACTCTGAGGATGTGTAACAATTGATCAACACTATAATTCCCTATAATTTAGTTTCAATTATAGAAAATATGCACAGAACATTTACTAGAATATTTATCATGAAATGTATTTACCAGGTCTCTGATTGACAGGGCTGCAAGTAAAGCTACAGGCTCTGCTTTAAAGCCATGTAGGCAGGAAATTGAATCAAATTCTGAGATTGGACAGCAGGGACCCAAAAACCACATTATGTTTTTTTTAATGGTTATGGGGCCTGGAATTTCCCTTCTAATACTTTAACAGAAAGAACATTTAGCTAGTTATGGCAATAATAATAATAAAGGTACAATATAGTCACCAGAACAACTACAGCCTAATTAAGTTGTTTTGGTGAATATAGCCTGTCCGTACCGCCTTTTTTCAGTAAACACAGTCTTTTCAGAGAAAAGGCAGTGTTTACATTGCTCCCTAGGGACACTTCCAGTGACCACTCCTCAGGCAACCATTTAAGGTGCTTCCTGGGGCAGTGCTGCACACAGGGGTGTATCTATCACGAGGCAAACAAGGCATTTGCCTAGCGCGGCACTTGCCAGTGGGGCGGCAAAATGCCTTGTTTGCTTAGTGATAGTTACATAATATGCTAAATATTTTTTTTGCCACTTGTCCGATCCGATCCTTCACTATGCAAGCGGCATCTCCAGCACCGCATAGTGAAGGAGTTGAAAGACTTACTTCCTCCTCCTCCTGACTTCCTCCCGACCGCCCCTGCCTTTTGCGTCCGCGCATTGCCGTCGTGACGTCACACGGAGGTGGAGTCACGGGCCGGCAACTCTAGGGTGAGAGTGATCTCCTCCAAATGCACACGGACGGTCACCGTGAACACTGAGCCCAGGCCCCGCCCCTAGCCCCAATGCACTGATCCCTGAGCCTACTGTCTTCAAAAACTGTAAGTACCTAAATTACAGTTATTCACAAAAAATGTTTAATTACTTAGTTGTTTTATGGGGTAAAGGGGGGCTGGCTGGGTGGTTAGAGGGGGACTAGCTGCACATTGTTTAAAAAAAAAAAAAAAAAGTAATCTGTAAAATAAATTTTGTGCTTTTTTAATTTTTAGAATAATCATACAGCCATTTTATTTAATGTATTTGTGCTAATTTCTGTGCTGCTGGAGGGGGTGAGGGGCAGTATTACACAATCTGTATATATATTACACATATGTATATGTATAAAAAATTATATATATAGATTGTGTAATACTGCCCCTCACCCCCCTCCAACAGCACAGAAATTAGCACAAATACATTAAATAAAATGGCTGTATGATTATTCTAAAAATTAAAAAAGCGCAACTTCTGACACAAATACTTTGCATTTTACAGATTTTTATATATTTTTTATACATCTGGAAAATACAAAATATTTGTGTCAAACTAGGAATGTGCATTGTTTATTTTTTTACAATAACTTTTAGATAATAGACATTTTATTTTATTTCATACATACATTTGTGATGATTCTTTTTCTTCTCTATATTCAAGGGACACTATAATCACCAGAACCACAACAGCTAAACGTAGTAGTTCTGGTGTCTAAATCATGTCTCCGCAGGCTTTTTAATGTAAACACTGCCTTTTCAGAAAAAAGGCAGTATTTACATTACTGTCTATGAATACCTCTAGTGGCCACTCATCAGACAGCAACTAGAGGTGCTTCCTAGTCCAGTGTTGCACAACGTGCAGCACTGGCATTCACGCTGAACACTCCTCATAGAAATGCATTGATTTAATGCATCTCTATGAGGAGATGCTGATTGGTGCAGCGCACAGTTTTGCCACGCATGCGCAATAGCCTCCCAATGCTTTCCTATGGGAAAGCAGTGTGTTGGCTGATATATACTCAGACACTGCACATTTTTGTGTGGGAAGGCGGGATCCAGGGGGCTCAAGTAAATTCTTGCCCAGGGTCCAATCAATATTAAAGACGGCCCTGCCCCTCACTCTTGCCACGCTCTCTCTGCTCTGTCCCTGCTTCCTGATTAATGTCTGATTGTTGCCATGGAGAGCAGACAGCAAGCCGACCTCCCACGAGACTCCTTCAGAGCCTCCTTCCATTATAGCCGGGCAGCACGTGCTACGTCTGTTGATTTTAACTGACGCTACGTCTGTTGATTTTCACTGACACTACGTCTGCTGATTTTCACTGACGCTATGGCTGTTGATTTTCAGATTTTTATTGACGCTATGGTGGTTGATTTTTACTGATGCTTTGTCTGTTGATTTTTATTGATGCTATGTCTGTTGATTTTCATTGATGCTATGTCTGTTGATTTTTATTGATGTGACGTAATGCCTGTTGATTTTTTTATTGATGCTATGCCTGTTGATTTTCATTGACGCTGTGGCGGTTGATTTTCATTGACGCTATGGCGGTTGATTTTTTTTCTGATACTTTGTCGGTTGATTTTTACTGGTGCTATGTCAGTTGATTTTTACTGGTGCTATGTCGATTGATTTTTTTATTGACGCTATGTCTGTTGATTTTCATTGTCGTTATGGCGGTTGATTTTCACTGATGCTATGTCGGTTGATTTTCCCAGCATTGGTACTATTCTTAGCAGCCATGGGTGACGGGCGAAAAAGGCTATGTGGAGCAGGTTACCGAAAAAATGCAAAAATTAGGTGTGAAAAACAAGCCAGGGAGCTTGAACAGACAGGAAAAATGTAACTCTTTTTCGCAAAACCTGTGGCTTCTTATAATGCTGAGCAGGGTGAGGAGGTAGTTGAAGATTTATAAAAGAGGGGCAGTAAGTGGGAAAAAGTGCAAAATACAGTGCAGGCTAGTCACCCCGAAATAGGGATCACTCCCAATCCCAATACAATACAAACAAATAAGTATAGTTAAAAAACATATACCACCGGGCGCGCCACAATCACAAACATGTGAATATATTTATCACATTATATTCATGGGTATTCATGTAAGGAGATAAAAACAAAAATATATATAGTGAAGTATTTAATAGCAAGTAAAACAAAATAATAAAAACAAGTACACTCACAAATGTAATTGCACAACAAGGACATATGTCTTAATTGTGCTAGAAAAGCTTGTCAGCCCTTTCCTGGGCTAAAGTCCCCTCTTGTAGTAGGATCCCAGTTTTCAAAGTTCCAATAACTCCCAGTGGTGATTCACTCGAGGCTGGATAAGATCCAAAAGTACTAGGGACACTGACTTTTTCTTGAAAAAGTCGATCGGACGAAACGCTTTGAGCGGTAAAAAGCCTGCCAGTGTCCCTAGTACTTTTGGATCTTATCCAGCCTCGAGTGAATCACCACTGGGAGTTATTGGAACTTTGAAAACTGGGATCCTACTACAAGAGGGGACTTTAGCCCAGGAAAGGGCTGACAAGCTTTTCTAGCACAATTAAGACATATGTCCTTGTTGTGCAATTACATTTGTGAGTGTACTTGTTTTTATTATTTTGTTTTACTTGCTATTAAATACTTCACTATATATATTTTTGTTTTTATCTCCTTACATGAATACCCATGAATATAATGTGGTAAATATATTCACATGTTTGTGATTGTGGCGCCCCCGGTGGTATATGTTTTTTAACTATACTTATTTGTTGGTAGTTGAAGATTTAACTGTTGACATCTGTGAAACTGATGTTGCTACATCCAGTTATGATACTTCACTAGCTACTAGTATTGCCAGAGAAACTGAGACTTCTGAATCAGGTCCTTCGAGTTCAGTAGAATTTGATGATCCTTTTGTACAAATAGGAGTGAGCTCTGACCCTGCTGAATGGGTTTTAAATGATTGCACCAGAGACCATGTGGCTAAACATGGAATAATTCAAAATGAGAATCTGGACTTTACACAGTCGAGAAGGCTGTATGCTGACCATTCTAGGTTGCTAACTAAACACCTTTTTGAAAAAGAAAACTTTAATGGAGAGAAACAAAAAAGGACCTATTTTATTTACTCCAAAAGCAAAAGAGTAGTGTTTCGTGCTCCATGTCGTTTGTTTGGTGGCAAATCCCAGTTGGCAGAAAGTGGCTTCAATGACTGGAAAAATGGCACGGCTCGATTAAATGAACACGAGCGTTCAGCTGAACACAAATCCTGCATGCTATCTTTAAAATCAAGAGCATGTACACTGGGGAGAATTGATGAAAGTCTTACCAAGCAGCGTTCTGATGATATTCAATATTGGAGAAATGTTTTAAAAAGAGTTGTTGCTGCAGTTAAGGCACTTGGCACACAAGGACTTGCTTTCAGAGGGAAAGATGACCGTTTTGGTTCCACACACAACGGAAACTACATGATGATGTTTGAATTTCTGTCAGAATTTGACCCATTTATAGCAGAACACATTGCCCGTTACGGCAGTGCAGGAAAAGGAGTCACATCTTACCTCTCATTCACTACCTGTGAGCAGTTTATTCAGCTTATGGCAGATTCTGTTACAAAGCAGATAGTTAAGGAGGCAAAGGCTGCTAAATATTACTCTATCAGTGTTGATTCAACACCTGATAGCTCCCACACGGATCAGCTGGCCTTCATCTTAAGGTATGTTAAGGGAGATGGCTTACCGGTTGAGCGCTTTCTATGTTTTATTCCAAATCCTGGACATAAATCGGAACAACTGGCTGAAGTGGTCCTCACCACTCTTAAGTCATATGATCTTGAAATTGCCAACTGTCGTGGTCAATCATATGACAATGCAAGCAATATGTCTGGCCATTATAGAGGATTGCAAGCTAGAATTCTGGAAAGAAATGCACTTGCTGTGTATATTCCATGCTCTGCACACTCTTTAAATTTTGTAGGGAAGCATGCTGCTAAAAGATGTCCTGAAGCCTGTTCATTCTTTGGTCTCCTAAAATACCTTTACATTTTTTTTACTGCTTCCACTCACAGATGGGAGATTTTATACAAGAACATTTTTCATCTGTGCCAAACACTCTAGCAGTAAAGAGATTATCTGACACACGGTGGTCAGCCAGGGAAGATGCCTGTCGAAGCTTAAATCAAAATTGGACTCAAGTAATCGAAGCCTTAACAAAAATTAAGGAAAATACCGCAGAGGCAGCAGGAACAGGCAAGGAAACTGAAGGTCTTCTGAATAAAATACAGCGTCTGGAGACTGCACTTATGAGTGGTTTGTGGGGTACTATCCTGGATAGATTTGGTGCAGTTAGCAAAAAACTCCAAAGCATTGGCATTGATGTTGGACTTGTAGGGGAGCTGTATGAGTCACTGATCCAGTTTGTTCGAGAAACCAGAGACATATTCACGACTTTCGAAAGCTGCTGCAATGGAAAAATCAATTGTGAAGGATTAGGAGTCAAAAAGGAAAGGTGTACAAGCAAGGAAAGGTTCAGCAACTTCCAGCAAGACACAGGCAGAGGTAGCCCAAGAAAACTTTTGCATTAACACCTTTTATGTTATTTGTGACAACTTAGTTGCTGAACTTATGAGAAGAAAAACAGCATATGACTCTTTCTTTGGAAAGTTTAAATTCATTACTGACCTATCAAAAACTGAGCCATCAGCAATTTCACAGCATGCAAATAACCTTTGTTCTTCTTACAGCAAAGACTTGGAACAGGAGTGTTTTGTTGATGAGTGCCTCCACTTTCGTTCATACTTAAGTTCTTCTGCAGAAGAACTTCTCTGTTCTGGCGGTGTCCCGAATGATGAGAGAGAGAGGATTGCAAAGTATTTATTTAAATGTGGACATTGCTCTCAGAATGTTTTTGTGTACTGCAGCAACAAACTGCTCAGCTGAGCGTTCTTTCTCGACTTTGAAGAGAGTGAAGAACTACTTGCGATCCAGAATGGGGGAGGAAAGATTGAACTCCCTGGCAGTGTTGGCAATAGAGTCTGAACTCACAAAGTCTTTGGACTGTGATGAGCTTATCAACAGCTTTGCCACACAGAAAGTTCGTCGAAAACCACTTTAGTTTCCAAGTATGATTTAGATCTAATAGTCTAATATTCAACAGTTTGCACTTATTTAAGTCATGTTTATAGTTTTATTTGTTGTATTAAACAAGTTGCATTTCAGTTTAATATATTTATATATTTAATTAAAGTTATCTAAGTTATTAAAAACCTCATCGTGTCCGTTTCAGGATGAATTGATTGATGTAAGTAAATGGTGTGTGAAAGTCTGTGCTATGACTAAAGTAGTGTAATGGACTGCATGTGTTGATATATACAGTGGCATTGTCTTGTATGAATGACACAAATTGTGTATGCATGTCCAGTAACAGCTGTTGACGCCACGTGCTACTTCAAACAATTTGAGCGTCTGTGATCAATATAGTATAGTTGACCTGGATGACTGATCTTTGTAAAGTGGTTGAATTTACACTTTATATTATTATATGTAAAGATTCTCTTAAAATAATAGATGCAACATTTGGTACAGAAAACACAAAATATTGGCCTTCCTTATTCACTTTCAAATATAGAAAGGAAGCTGTGAAGCTCTAACAGGAAAGGGTGGGGCCTAAAGAGGAAGGGGTGGCCCCTAAACAGAAAGGGGTTTGGCCTTGACAGGAAGGGGTGGGTCAAATTTATATTAGGGGGGTGCCCGAGTTTAGTCTCGCCTAGGGCAGCACAAAACCAAGACACACCACTGGCTACACAGTGAGCAGTGACTGTCAACATCTCCACGCTCTGCATGGAGTCGCTAAACTTTCCCCACAGAGATGCATTGATTCAATGCTTCTATATGAGCAGATGCTCATTGGCCAAGCCCCCATTTAGCCCCGCCTGCTCGATGATCTCAGCTCAATGCTGATGTCAGCCAAGGATGCATGACCAGAGCCAGTGGATCCGTGTGGCGCTGGAACTAAATTTTTTGTACTTTTTAAGAAAGGCAAAGTGGTGGTTTTAATGGTCTAAATGGTGGTTTTAACACTGCAGGGTCAGGAATGCACGTTTATGTTCATGATCCTAAAGTATATAGTGTTCTTTTAATATATATATTCTTTGAAGACCTACTTGAAATAGGTCTTGAAAGCATGAGAAGGTTTATGATAGGAAGTATCCTCAGATTTAGTATATGCTTTTTGCAAGCCATGTTTAACTATAAATATGGTTCAAATTTATAAAATCAATTGGCATGTTCATCAATAAATGGATAAAACCTCAAAAAGGCTAAATATGAATGAAAAACACACACACACAAAAAAACCTCCTTATTAAAATGGATTTATTGCAAAGATCTTATATTCATAACAATGCCATAAATCTTCAGCTACACTTTACAGATAGATGAAAACAAAAGATAAACATAAAAACAAATTCTTATTCTCATATTCATAAAGAGATGTTTATTCTATATAACAAACATTTCACTTATGTGACACCTACAGGAGAAAATAAAAAAAAAAAAGTTAAAAAAGTAAATGCTGAACAATAAACTGTATTTGACACATTAAAATATATTCATGGTTACATTGCAAGACTTGTAAAGTGACAAGTGTAGAATTGTGCCTTTACAAATTGTAATACACACAAGGTATTTTCAACCAACTATAACCCATGGACACTACACATAATGCAATGGATACATTGGCAGTTATGAAGGGGAAAATAATGTGACCCTGCATGTTTTTAGTACAGTCGAATTCCATCAAAATACCTTTATAAGACCCACGTTTAGAATAAGAATATAACTGAAGGAGCATATGAATTATTGGATACTCATAGCACTTAGGGTTCTTAAATGGACAAACGAGATTGCAAGTAACGCATCAAAGCAGTATATTAACAATGCATTAAAACATATAAAAAAAAAAAAAAAAAATGATTTCACATTAGCAGTTCCTACATTCACTGTAAAGCAGCTTCTATAGGGAGCTTAGACCAGGAAGTGGCTCTCCCAATCACGATGTTCCTTCCACTTTCTAAAATAGTTTTGAGTGTCCCTGCCCAGCAGGAGCTTTTGAGATTTGTAGTTAAGTGAAAAGCTAACAAATTAACTGCAAATCACAGAAATTGATATCACTACTTACAGATGTATTACTGGAAATAATGGAGACATTGCAGATTACGAAGGAGAAGCAAGAATGATCTTGGTCTTATAAAACAAGGGTAAAAAATAAATATATATGAAAATAAAAATAAATCTCCCTACATAACAATCTAACACAGACAGGGACCTTATGTCACTGCTAGTCCTTTGAGAACATTCTGTACGTGTAATGCTCCTTTAGTTAAACACAACCCTCCCTACCCCGGAAAACAAAAAATGGATGCCAATTATATAACCATGGTATATTAAGCATTTTTGCATTTGCACTTTGGTTCACTGTCTATGGGTTATCTTTGTAGAAGATTGCAGTACTAATGAGGGGGCGACAACTTAAAACACAAGCAATACGCCTGTCTTATCACTTGATGCTTTATACTACTATACCTTTTTACTCTATGGATAGTACAGGAGCAGAGTAAGGTGGAACCGTTATCCCCAGACAAAAGAGTGACTTCATTTCAATTCACTGCCACAGTATTAATACCAATTTGTAACTGGGAAAAACATTGCTAGAAAAAATATGCACATGCTTTTATCCTGCTAGGTTTTCACAATGTAAACATTTGTTTGTGCATGCTTTGACTGCAAAACAGTGGAGTTTATTTCAGTTTGTAATTGAAAAGAAGAAAATTAACCTAAAGAGCGTTCCAGGGGAATTACAACTGCTTTAGGATTCAAAGATTTCCCATTGATATTCCAGTGAGGCTAGTCATGTAATCTGAATGGTTGGGGTCTAAGGAACTGGAATAGAAACTGCCCTAAAGGTCAAACCGGTTTTTGGAGTTCCAAGTGCTTAACTTAGTGCACTGAACAGGACTAAAATGCACTAGAATATCTAAAAATATATTTTAGATTTCGGTGTTTTGTACATTTAAGCCATTTTTGTCTTCTAATAGTGGACTAGATATCTTAAATCTATTTAATCTTAGACACCCATTGTAACCCAGGCACTTTGTAAAGATTTTTAAAAATTAGAATTTAAACTTTGATTAGACATCTAGAACAGTTTACATGTAATCTCATTCAGATTACTTAGAATGGAATTCTTGCAACCAAAGACCGAGTGATCTAGAATTGTTTCAGGTATGAGTTCTACCAGGTGGGCATTGTAGGTAACATACCACCCACAAAACATTACTATTATATCCACTTATATAAGTGTTTGCAAACACTTTTCTCCATTCCTTGTAAAAACAGAACGTGGGAGATTTCTGGCCAATATTAAAGAAGGGAGGAAAGGGGAGAAGAATGAGAAAGAGAGAAAGAGGAAAAAAGATCCACTTTCTAAAATAAAACCATTGGTGTTATATATCAACTTGTTTTAGAGGGCAATATTTAGAGCTACATGGAAACTCTATTTCCAATAAGGAAGCAAGTAACTTGACAAATTTTTTTTTTTTTTTTTTTAAATCTAATTAAGCGTAATGTATAGCCCTTATCTTTGAGACTATACACAATAATGGTGGAATACTATGGTTTTGCATAATCTTTCTTCTTCATTAAATATTTATTTTTCCTATGCAAACAATACCTCAAATAAAAGCCCATAAAAATAAAATCTGACATGTTACATTCTTTGAAGTACTGTGGATGAGAGCCACTGGGATATACACCATATTTCCGGCTTCCATAATTCATCAAAACTTTATGGTTTCTGAACTTAGGGTGTTAATACTTAATGGAGTACAATAACAAACTATCTTCTAATTATGGTTTTAGAGGCCATCAATTTCAGATTGCATGAAAGATTGTTTGATCAGAAAAAATTGAAGAAAAAGTGAAGTATATTTACAATACAACCCCATAAGGTGTTTGTATCGGTGTACAAAATTATAGAATTTATGCTTATTTATTAATAAATGCTTTATGCCTTGGCATAAGATAAACCATTCAAGGATTCCTCCACCAAATCAGCTAAATTAAATAAACACAAACGGCACCATAGTCAAATACGTTGCGTGTAAGCTTATACATTGCTACATAGGATGAACCAGGTGGCAAAGGAAACACATTTATTTTGTTGTGAAGATATGAAGGAGATGATTTGGTCTTCTAAAAAATTCACATGGAGATCTCTGTTCGACACAATATATTTTTTTCTCCAAAGGTACATAATGTTTTTCATAGAAGCAGGGATCTTCGTTTGTGATCTATCTTCTCCAGTACTGTAAAGAGACAGAAAATGATAATCCATTAAATACATAAATTACTTTTAAATTGCTTCTATTCTTATTTTGAAAACAAAAATATGTCCAAGGGGAAATTCAATTAGTGATCTTTTCAATAGGATTTGGGTTTTATTTTGAAAAAGCAGTTTGCGTTTGATTTAAATTCTGGTAGAAGTAACAAGAGATATATAAAGGAAAAAATGAAAGAACTGATTGTTATTTTTCCTATTATAAGACATTAAATTAAAACAATATACCTAGGCCAAAGTGTAATACGATAGTGAAAATGATTTATATGAAAGAAGTGAAGTCTTTTATACTAGGAACCTGTCACATGGAATTCGTTTAAATATTTTCTGTTTAAAAGATTATGCTTTCACTCTGCCAAGAAAGTGGAAAATTATTTGCGAAACTGAATCTGCCTCACAGAGTATAACCAGTGAAAAGAGATTATAATAAAGAGAAGAGTACAAAGCACCTTTCCCCCCACCCCCCTAAATATGTGAATGAGATAATGGGACTTTCACATGTGCCAGCTTTTATAAATATATTAAAGGAAGTTCTGTAAGACATGCTAAAATTAAGGAAACATTGAAATAATAGAATTTACGAACTCTCCTTAATAAATACTTAAAATACATTGTAATTTGTGTTTTTCATAAAGGTAGAATGTTTACGAAAAACCCATACTGTAAAAATGTGAAAGACAGCAATGAAAATTCCATTGAAATACAAAAACGTTATAATG